TAGTTTTATATCCACTTTAAAAATCTGAAAAGAGTCCGCCAAAATCTTGATATAAATTGAGTTCCCCTATCTGATATAATATCCTTGGGTAATCCATGATAGCGATAGATATTGTCAAGAAAGAGCTTAGCTCTTTCTTCACCTGTGATAGATTTTGTACATAGTAAAAAATGTGCCATCTTTGCAAAACGATCTACTATCACGAATATAGAGTCATAAGAACCTGAGATTCGAAGATTCGTGATGAAGTCCATAGAAACAAAAGACCATGGTTGTTCTAGAATGAATAATGGCTAAAGAAGTCCAAAAGGTTGATAACGAGGAGTTTTCCATCTTGAACAAACATCACATGATTGTACAAAATCTTTAATTGCCTTCCACATTTGAGGCCACCAAAAATCTCTAGATATCAGCTCCAAAGTCTTATTATATCCAAAATGTCCTTCTGCTAAGAAGTCGTGAGGAGCTTGAAGAACACGTAAAAATGCTACTCCTTCTAGAACATATAGGCATCCTTCGAAATAAAGTAGGTTGTTCTTCAACTCGAATTTAGAGGAATCATGAGATTTAGAAGAATTATTCTTGATATCATGAACAAGAGGGTCTGAAGACATACTTAACTGGACTTGCTTGAAAAAAGTTAAATCAACAGTCAATGTTGATTTTATTGCTCGAAGATGAAATTGCTCCGGCTTCAAGAGAACCATTCTTTGTTGCTCAAAAGCTACATCTCCTTCTTTTGGTATAAGATAAGAACATCTAGACAAGGCATCGGACAAACCTTGTTGTTTTTCTGGCCGATAAGTGATCATGAACTCGAATCTTGATAAAGACATGCTCCAACGAGCTTGGCAATAATTTAATACGCGTGTTGACATAAAATATTCGAAGTTCTTGTATCCGTATACATGGTGACTGGACTGGAAGCGCCTTCTAGGTAATGATGCCATTCTTGAAAAGAATCCACAATTGCAAGAAGTTCTTTGTCGTGGATCTCATAATTGATTTCTGCTGCTGAGAATTTTCTTGAATGAAAGGCTACTGGATGAAATTTGTCATGTATTCCCATTTGTGATAAAACCGCACCCAAAGCAGAGTCCGATGCATCTATTTCCATAAAGAATGCTTTGAAAAAATCAACACGATACAAGATTGGTGCAGAAACAAATGCTGTCTTCAAAGATTCAAATGCAACTTCCGCTTCTTGATTCCATTGGAGTTTGTCTTTACAAGTCAAACGTGTAAGTGGAGCTGTAACTTGAGAGAAGTCTTTGATGAAGATTCGATAGTAGTTGGCAAATCCCAAAAAACATTGGACATCTCTTACCGTTTTTGGGATCTTCTAATCTATAATAGTTTGAACTTTCTTAGGATCCATCATAAGTCCATCATTTGAAATGATGTAACCTAAGAAATCGACTTGAGTAGTGTGAAATACACACTTTTCTATCTTGGCATAGAGTCCTACATCTCTTAATTTTTGTAACACACGATGAACATGAAGTTCATATTCTTCTGGATTCTTAGAATAGATCAAGATGTCGTCTAGATAACAGACCACAAAATCATCCAAAAACTCTCAAAAAATATCATTCATTAGATGTTGAAAAGCTGCTGGTGCATTTATAAGTCCAAAAGGCATGATGTTGTATTCAAAATGTCCATATCTAGTTTGAAACGTAGTCTTCTATTCATCTCCTTCTTTGATGCGTACTAGATTGTATGGTCCCCGAAGATCTATTTTTGTATAGATCTTAGCTTGATTCAGCTGATCAAGAAGTCCAGATATTAAAAGTAGTGGATACATGTTCTTGATGGTAGTCGTGTTGAGTCCTCGATAATCAACACACATCCGCAATGATCCATCTTTTTTCTTCACAAATAGAATTGGAGCTCCTGCTGGAGATTTAGAATGGCGTATGAAATTCTTAGCTAGATTTTCTTCAATATACTTCTTGAGTTCAGTTAACTCATTTTGTGATAAACTGTAGATTGGTCCAAATGGCAGTTGTGCTCCTTCTTGAAGGTCAATTGAGCAATCATAGGGACGATATTTTGGGAGTGTATCTGCATTCTTTTTTTCAAATACATCTTGAAATTCTTGATATTGGCTTGGAATGCCACTTGAAGTCTTTGCACCATTAGAAACGGGTGTGGCATAATTAATATATGGTGATTCTTTCATAGCAGCATGCAAGAAAGCTTTTACACCTATAAATACGGGTTTAATTGAACTGGACTTATGACTCTCTACTTGATTAACTACACTGTTAGTTATACTTTTAGAGAAAGTAAGAGTTCGGAAAATCCAGTCTATTTGAGGGTTGTATTTTTCTAACCACGATAAACCTAAAATGATTGGATTAGAAGGAGATCTAATGATATTAAATAATACAAAACTATTATGACCATTGATTATTACTTCTATAGGAAGGGTTTCATGAGTAATATCTCCAGAAGACAATGGACGACCATCTATGACTTCTACACGAACAGGTTTAGTTTTCTTTACTAAAGATATGCTATGTCTTTTAGTAAATTCTTCATCTAAAAAACACGCCGAGGCTCCTGAATCTAATAAGGCAGAGACTTTGTAATGTTTAGGTCCTAAAATAACATTTAATGTAAAACAAAGAGAGGGCTCTAAGGAGAGAATAAGACCTTTACTAGATGTTATGCAAGGTTCCAGCCACACAGTTCCTATTGTAGGTGGACAAACTCGTTTTCTGACATATTGTCTTCTTTGACAACCATACTCCTCATTTTGTGGTTGCGTCCTTTCTTTGGACAATATTGAGTAGTATATTTTGATTCTCCACAATATAAACATAATTCTTCTTGACGACAACGAGTCTTTTCTTGCTCAGTAAAAGATTTGAAACATATTCCATCTATTTGCATATCTTCTACTTTCGAATATATGTGTTGAAGAGATGTTGGTGTTGCCATTGAATTATAGTAACGTTGAGGTCCACTTGTATGGTTCTCAGATCAAAATTCAAAAAAGTGATTGTCGCGCTTCACAGCAAAGTCAATTACTTGACTCAATGTTTGAGGATCAGGTAAGTTGAGCATTAATTTTTTTACCTCATATTGTAATCCGTAGAGAAATTGGCTAATAAGTGCAGCATCATCCCACTTGATATCAGTTGCAAGTTGTCAAAATTGTGAAGCATATAACATTACTGATCGATTGTCTTGTCATAAAATATAGATCTTATTAGTTGCAACACGAATTGCATCATGTTCTCCATACATAGATCAAAATTCCGCCAAAAAAGCCTCTAGATTATCCAATATTGGATCTCGTCGTTCAAGAAAAGATGAAAACCACGATAGTGTCGAACTTGAAAGAAGCGTTCCAATGAATCTAACTTGTGATCCTGGAGTTGGATAGCTTTGGAGTTGAAGTTCAATCACAAGTTACACTTGATTGATAAATCCTCGAAACTTGGATCTGGTGCCATCAAACTTCTTGGTTAGGGCACTTCTTGGTTTTCTAGCATTTGAAGGGCATTCCACTATAGGAGAAAGGATATGGTTTGGTGCAGATGTTGAAGCTCCAACCATTTCTATATCTTCACTTCCTGCCAATCTTGTTGCTCCTTGTGGTGGTAAATTGAGTTGATGCATCGCAAGCATTAACTCCCTCAATCGCTCTTGCATTTGTGCCATTGCACTCTTCATTTCAAGAAGTTCTGCCATGATAATACTTAGAAGAGAGGACTTGAGAACAAAGAAAATACTAAGGACAATATCAGTTTAGAAGAGGGTAATCTGTAACTTCTAATATGCTTGTATCTTATCAAGAAAAAGGGATAATCCATTCTTAATCAAGATTAGACAAAGCTCTGATATTGTAGGTATACTCTTGTCAATCTGTCAAGGATAAGAACTCGATGAAAAAACAATTCAGACAAGTGAGCCTTCACTCAAAGAAAGGTAACAAAATATAAATAAATAAGTATATATATTGAAAGAGAAACTGGAATGGCTATTGCCAAAAGACAAGAAAACTAGAGACCCTTGAAACTAGACTGGAAGCAAGAAAGAAGTTGACAAGAGTGAAGAAGCCTTCACTCTTGTCTCTATATATACTATCTAACTAGGGGCTACGTGGCGACGTTCTATAGGACCTCCAATATGTGTTGACTTTATAGAACACATGCCTTGACTTACAAGGCAAGTTTTTCTACGTGTAGGCCACATAGTTAGCTTGATCTTTAAGCTAACAACATGTGTGGCACATGGCCAACTTGTTGATGACGTTTCTAATCCAAAAAGTCAATTAAAGACACCTATGAAGTCAAAGCAGCGTCTATGAAGCTTCTAAGAAGCTTTCATATTAAATACTATAGAATTAATTTACTTTTACCTACTTTTACTTACTTCTACCTATTTGTATATGTAATTACTAGCTTACATGATTATATCCATGACAGTAATGGACATTTGGAAGCCATAAGCCTTCTTTTCAATATTTGAGGTTATTTATCATATGCAATAATACATCTAAGATAAAGAGGTAGAAATAGGGTATCAACGGGCATCCTTATCTAATGGACATTTGGAAGCCATAAGCCTTTTGTCCTGGATTTGAAGTTGTTTATCATGTAGAATAGTACATCCAAGATAAAGAGGTAGAAATAGGCTATCAAATGGGCATCCTTATCTAATGGACCTTTGAAGGATAAATTTCTTACTCTTGTGTCTATTGATTATGACTAATGAACTAACATTTGGATAAAGAGTGTTCATCCACTTGATCCACTCTTCACAAAATCTCAATTTCTTCATGGTTTGTTTGAGGAAGATCCAATTAACTCTGTATGCTCTCTCTAACAATAGTATGACTAGGTCCTGGTTGCTTTCTTTGGCCCAGTGGGTCGATTCCTAGGCCCATCCACACTCAGCTACACATATTCATCCATCCACCCATCCATCCATCTTCTGGTTCGGAAAAGCGGCATCGTCGTCGTCGTCCTCAGCCTCCGCAGGGCTCCCCCATGAGACGGCGGGACATGGCGCATCACTGTGTTTTCAGAGTTCTGCCTGCAGTAGCAGCAGCAGCTAAAGATCGGGAGCAGTGCTAACACGGGCCTAATGGCAATGGCGGAGGGCAACACCAGCTACCTCGGCCTCACTGCTATCATCACGGTCACACTCCACCACCTCCCACCATTCTCACCAATTCATGTTTCTGCTATCATTTCTCACTTTGGAGTTAGAGATTTCGTTTGCGCGCCTTTGTGGTACTGTAATTGCCGGCCAGCCACGGCACCGCTTAGATTGCTCGCGAGAGCACTTCCTAACATGATTCATACCACAGGCTTGCGAGGGAGATGCGAGAGAATTCCTTGTAATCAGATACTTGGGTCGTGATTTCTTTGTGGGGTTGCGCTCTTTTTGGGGGTCAGAAATTTCGGTTCAGGTGTTCGTGTTAGCTGTGCTAGGTCCCTCCCTTATGCATTGGATGTTATTTTAAAGCTTAATTGTGTATTTTATTAGTTGTTCATGTGGTGTACAATCATGATTGTGGAGGCCATAAATTGTATTAACATTTACTGGGTTGTTAGCAGTTGTTAGCTACTCACGTCGTGTCATTTCTGGAATGAAAAGTAATATCGAGCTTGACGTTTTTTTTGTTCGTTCTAGGTTACTTCTTTGCTCATTAGTTTTGTGTTTGCTTTGTGGGGTTGCACTAGTATACCAGCGTTATAGTTAACCATGGGAAGTTTTAATTGTTGCACTGGTTTTTTTGAACAAATCACTCTTTATGCCGGTCAAGTCATATATATACATACCTACATTTTAAACTCTTTTCGTAGTGAAGTGGTGCAAATGGAAGATCTTGACTTTCCTTGGGTGATAAATTTTGCAGGCGGTGTTTCAGTTTTCGTTTTTCTGTGTTGCAGCAACATTGAAGATTGACAAAGTTACAGATTTCGCAGGTAAGGTCTCTTTTAACTACTTGAAATCAATTGGTTTTCCACTTCTTGAAAGTCATGACTGCAGGCATTGTACTCACTCGGAGCTCATCGCATTCACTCTAACTTTTTATGATGTACTTTTTTGTTTGGCGTAGATTTAGAGAGCTTAGAAAATTGTTGGTGATGTTCGAAGCGGAGGTTATGTTCCACGATGTCCTATACCGACTAAGATGTGGTAGAGTGCGTTAAAGAGGCTCGTTATGCTAATATTAGAAGTCCTGTTTATGAATCAGGTGTATCCAATTTTGTCATACTTGCTGTTACAACCTTCCTTCTCAATGGCACACACTACTTCCGCCAGGTCAGTCAAGGACTTACATTAGTAATTTTTACAGCAATCTGTTCGCCTTATTTTGTTCCGGGTGTAATTGAATGTCATTCTGAGTCGCGGAAGCTATGCCTTGTGCGAATTCACTATAGAAAACAGAGTTTGGGAAAAAAAAAGTGCTTCAAGATGACAAAGTGCGGGTATCTTGGGCCCGGGGTTGCAGACAGTATTGACATGCTTGGCTGTGGCGTGGGGCCTTCGATTGTCAATCTTTCTTCTGTTGCGGTACGGAGTTGTATCATTCTTCTAATCAAAACTTGAGCCTCGAATTGACACGATTGCATTGTTTCATATTTTGATAATTTCTTCACTAGGAATGAACTCAGGTGAAGAATCTTACAGGGTATGATGTCGATTATTCCATTTATACCTTGCTTGGCTTTTGGGACGTCATTACCCAAACGCTAGTGAATGTGTACCATGCTTAGGTCTTTCTAAGTTTTTTACATGTTTGATTCCCTCTCTTTGTAGGATACTTGTGTACAGAGTTCTGTACATCAATGAGTAAGAGACGAATGTAATTGGAGGGCGATCACCTCAAATTTCTACAAGAGCTTCTAGTTTGAGAAGCATACTTTGTACATCCCGTAGCAGCATGCAAGTTGTTTCAACTTTAAACTAATTGAAGCATAGCTAACAGTCGTTGTGGATTTGTGGCAGGATATTGGAATGGGGTGAGGATAGACGCATGGATAACAAGCGAAACAATTTGGCTAGATTTGCTGTGTTTTGGACTCTCCAAGTATTGTTCCTCAACTGAGACTCTCACCTAGTTGATTTTACGCTCAATATGTAAGAACGTTCTGTATCTGATATCTTCTAGACTGAATTTCAGCAGTATTTTATCACATTAACTCGCATGGGTCAAGTGCATCTATCTGTTCTAATTTTGTCCACGTGTCTGATGATAGGGAATATGGGTGTGGACTGTGTCTCTCCCAGTCACTATTGTGAATGGGATCGTAACCCGTAATCCCGAAATACAAGTGGTCGATGTATTGGGTTGGGCTATGTGGGGCATTGGCGTGACCATTGAAGCAATTGGCGACCAGCAGAAGCTTCGATTTAAAAGAGATTTAGCGAGTCAGCGCAGGTGGTGCGATGTTGGTGTGTGGAAGTGGTCTCGGCACCCGAACTACTTTGGAGAGGTATGTACATGGTTTGTTGATCATATGTATACTTATTTTGGCGTAAGTCGAAGCTCCATCTTCGTGTCATGTAGTTGTTCTCCTAACGATATGCATGTCAATCTTTCTAGTATTAGTGAATGCTGTTCATTGATTCCACAGTAGACATCTTTGTTTTCCTTTCACTGAAGATTCTGAGGATCATTGTTACAAATTCGGATACAGATCCTTCTATGGTGTGGAGTCTTCGTGGCTTCGACGCCAGTGCTAAAGGGTGGTCAATGGGGAGCTGTAGCCAGTCCAATCTTGATCACCCTCCTTCTCCTCTTTCTCAGTGGCATTCCACTTCTCGAGGTTGGTGCACACACTCATTTTCTGTGGTTTTCATTTATTATTTGCAATATCATTCAATACTTCAAGACACACGCAAAATATATATATATATATATATATATATATATATATATATATATATATTTTTTACCGTGAAGTACAATCTCAATTAAGTTATCGTACAAGGTAAAACAAAAGCCCACAATGTCCAATTTGATGCGTACATCTTGGTGTCGCTAAAGAAGAAAGTAAGCCAACCTTCTATGGTTGCCTTCAAGCAGGCATCAGCTGATAAGAAGCATGGAAGCAATCCAGAGTATCGGGCTTATAAGCATAGAACGAGGTACTGTTCGTTGAGGGTTCTTTTAACTGTCTGTCTGGATTTTTGCGTCAGAGAAGCACCGACATGAGAACGAATCTCGTTGTGAATATTTCAGTTTGAACAACTTCTTGCAAGAGTTTTGAGTGATCGATTGGGATTGCTTTGCGTCTTGATCAATATCAACTTGTCAAGTTTTTGTTGTTCTGAGGCTGGAGTGTTGAAGAGACATTCTCTGCGCCTCATCATCATGCCTTAACCACGTGCTGTATTTTGTTACAGCCCTCTCATTCCACTTCCACCTACTCTTTATGGTAGCCTTTCGAAGACGTTGAAGACTGTGTTTCTCTTTGAGTTTCCTTTGTACAACAAAACAAAGCCGGCTGCAAGTGAGGAGAGTCTGCTACCTGAAAGCTAAGTTTAAGGGAACTTTCATGTTACATTTGTTCAGTGTCATGTGTAAAGATAAATGGTTCCTTCCACTTTCAAGGAATTAGCCCTGCTTCTTTTTTCCGGTTGTGGCAGTGTCGCTGTATTCTATTCATTCATTGTCATGAGTACTATGTTAGAAGCATTCCTTATATTATAATAACATCAATAAAAGAAGGGCTGAAAATCACCTTAGGTACGATTGTGAGTATCACAAATTACATGGCTTATGAGTATCTTGCTTCTTATGAACATTGCCGACTCTGAGTTTAGATGATGAGACTCGTGAGAATTGGGACAGGTTAGGAGACCAGCTCACAGGCGGACATCGCGCATTGAGTTCTACATTATTTACGTGGGTTTTTGTAAACTTGCTGAGCATAGTGTGCACTCCGAGGCATAGGAGTAGTTCTCGACAGCGGGTATGAATGTATCCATTTTCATAAACCAACAAACAAACAAAAAAACCTTCGCCCCTACCTCAAATTTCAATGTCTATCCACTCCACCACGTGGCTTCTGCCCTTGCACTGGTCACCATCCAGCTCAATACTTGCCTTTAACAATTCTATTCTACTCAACCGATGTTTCTTTTGTGGCAAAATTGTGCACAATCTCATAGTCCGTACCCTCTTGGCTGTGTTCAATGAGTGGAATATCGTTTTTCAGTGAATCTGCACATGCATTGGTTATCCCACCATGTCAGATATTTGTCAATGTTGCCTCATCTTTTTAAGTTTTTCAGATCTACAAGGACGAACTGCCGTTGAGATGAACTTCGCAATTTGTTTTACACTATCCCAGCAACCCTGGTGCTTCCATTCACACACAACAGTCACCAGGAACTAGCCTGCAGAGAAGTTCACGAACCCAGAAAGCACGTTAATACATTCACTCAAGCTTTGTTCATCTCTTGTATCATTCAATGGTCATGGATCTTCGAACAGTAAGCCTACGACTATTGCCTGATGTCAGAGGTCAATCTGTTCCACCTCAAGCTTGAAGTCCAGGCTGAACGGCGTTGGCTGAATATTGTTAAGACAAAGGCAGGTGGACAGTCAAGCAACGGAGGCTGTCTTGTTTGAAAAGCTAACAACCCCCAAAGGCAGGGAATGCTCTTCACCTTCTCCACCTTTTTCACATCATGCTCATTTTCCACACCCGCCCCTTCCCCGCTTTGCGTTGACTTGATTGCTAGCCCAACATGACAAAGAAAACGCCGCTTTGGTGGCTGGAAAGTAGGTGGCAGAAAACTTATCACAGCTACCAACTCTTCCCAAGCTCTGTTTCATGTTGACGCCTGTGAGGCCATTCACACTGCTCCTGCTTCGACTGTCCATTCTACGGACTCCTGTTTCAAGCTTGGGATGCTTGAAACCATGATGATTTGCAGTGAATGCTGGAAAATCAGGGTTCCAGAGAACAACGTACAGCTGTGTTTTGGTTACTTGTTAACGACCTGTCCAAATGGGTTGAAGCTTCATCCGTAACCGTAACCAGTGACTCTAACCAGAAAAAGCGTGATCCGAATCAGAAACCCTAATCAGAAACCACAGTGTGAAATCTTTACCGTGGCCGTTTGTTTCTGAACAGTGAATACTTAGCGACACCAAAGTGGTTTTAGAGCCACTTTATGCCAGAGTTTAATTAGACAAAAAGCCTGTTTTTACTCATATAGGCAAGGTTTCAACAATGAGGTAAAGGTTGGTGTGAATTTTCAAGGTAGATGGGTCCAAGAGTGACCCTACGCAAGCAATATAGCAACGTTTTCTTACTAAAAAGTTGGCAAGACTTTTGTAATGGAAAGAGTTCCCTAGTGATTTACTTTAATGAATAATATGGAACCTTAGTTTGGGGGGGGGGCAGAAGTTGACGATTGACCACTGCGTCAAGCCCTGATTCAGAAGGGAGAGAGGGATGAACACACAAAGGATGAAGAATGGATGAAAATAATCCACGAGACATCATCACATTCATGAAAACAGGGGTCCAACATGGATCCGATTCCGCAAACGCATGCGCTCTCTCTCCTCCGCTGCTTTTGCACGGTCTCTCGTCTGGACGGATGAACAGTCATTGATGGCTGGTGCACATCCATGAACCCATATATTCATCCATCTATCCATCTCCCATTCCACAAACAGTCTGGAACTCCTGGCCCCTGGAACATCTACGAATCGCCCGCTCGAGATCTACGAGATCTGAGTGAGCGCATTAAGGAAATCTAGGTTCTGGGACGACACTCCCAAGGAGAATCCCTTCGTGCACTAAAACCTCTGAAAACACATGCTCGAGCTGTTGTATCTGGTGCTTGTCGTCGCTCCCCCCTCCCCCCGTTTCTGTCTGCGTCGTTTGAGCGAGCGCTTGCGAGACGGCCACTAGCGGAAGAGTGTGGGGTTGTATTAGTTTGGGTTTCGTAAATCGGCGGGTGGAGAGGAGAACCCAGTAACGAGGTTTCGTTTGGTTGATTGGGCGGCAGAGGTGGGTTAGCTATGGCGGACGCGGGCGCGGAGAAGAAGGTTTACACTTTGGAGGAGGTGTCGGGGCACAACCACGCCAGGGATTGCTGGCTCATCATCGGTGGGAAGGTAAGCCTCCCGTAGTTTTTTGTCCAGGATTTTTTTTTTTTTTTTTTTTTTTTTTTTTTTTTTGCTCGGTTTCGGTTTTGGGGTATTGGTGGGGATGGCTATTGCTGGCAGATCTCGTGGATTAGTGAGATTTTTTGCTGATTTGCTGCTGAGTGCATTACTTCGAAGCTGCAGTGTAGTGCTGTGAACTCTGTCATCGTTTGATTCACACATATAGTTTTGTACTGTGGGTCATGTAATGGACTCTCGTGTTCTTGACTACGAAGTGCGTGACTAGACTTCTGGGGTACATTAGTCGTATTTCTTGGCTCTGTTGACGCGAGTTTGGTAGTTGCTACGCCCGAAGATGTTGTAGCTTGTGTGTGTGAGAGCAAGCCTGCGATGTCTTTGTTTATTATAGTTTGTGTAGATGCGGCTTTTACGAACCAGGTAGTTCCATCTTCATTACTAAGTATGGCGAGCGTTGCACCGTTGCATAGGAGTCGGATTGGCTAAGATTCGGGAACCGTCAAACTCATCTATCAATCGAAAGCCCGTGCAGTCACAAGTTTGGTTGTGAATTACTGATATTGAGTTCAGTGAAACGCTTAATATAATTCGCCTGTTATGAGTCAGTAGAAGGTCGAAACGGGTGTGTTGATGGGATTCTACTGTGTTTCTTAACATTCCTTTTTCTTGCACGGTCGCGTACGGTAATGATGCTGCTGCTTACTTACTTTAACTGTATAATAATTAATGTATGAGCATCATTGTTTTGTACGTGAAATTTTATGCTCAAATAAATCTAGCCTGGGGTAGTAAATTGAGTGGATTTCGTTGCGATGTCCACCTTCTCATGCGAATTTAGACTATTCTCTACGTGTTGGCACTTAGAGTAATAGTTTGTTTCCTTCGATTTCTGTTATGCAATCCCAGTATTTTACTCAGACCTTCGAGTATTTAATCGAGAGTGATTGAGATTGTTTTGTTATTGATCTGTCCACAGTGCATGGATTGGATGTACGGTTCCTTGTTGAGGAAGAAGTAGATTTTGTTGCAGTGTTCTGTTGACTTGTTTCTCCATGAATATTCCTCTTCTGCTTAAGGTGTGAGATTTTATTATTTATTGAGCGCGCTTGTTTTTTGGGGGCAAGTAATGTTGTTTTTATTGTGCGGTTTCAGAGTCATTTTTCCAGCAGTGCATTGGGTCGGGTGATTTGTTATATGCGATCTTACGCTGCCTTGTAATTTTGCATTACGCTTCTTCCCTGGCCGTGATTATATTCCGCGATGCTGTTTTCATAAGAAGTATCAGGTGTTAATTTTCAATTTCATCCTTGCCGAACAGGCGTCTCTCTGACGCATTCACATTAGGAGCTAGCTTTACATTCACATTCTTTATAGTAAATGGAGAACAATTACCATTACGATGTGGATATGGTAATGACACCCATTTTGATATTGTCGTGTGATTTCAGGTTTACGATGTTACCAAATTCCTTGAAGATCATCCAGGAGGTGACGAGGTTCTGCTCTCTGCTACTGGTGTGTGTTCAAAGCCCTTAGTGCACTTCATTATCCGGTTCAGTGCTGGCTTGTCACGGGTTAGGTGGATGCACTCTTTTCTGGACTGTTCACTAAATAGGACTCCAATGAATTTGATGAATTTTAAATGATATTCTCATGTTATGAATTTTGTAATCAATGACTTCACCATAAGGATTCGGTGGAGGAGTAGTATGGTACATGTGAAGATCATTGGTGTGAGTAGTGCGGCGAAAAACGCACTGTTCAAAACCATGAAGCGTAGCAACGGAAGAGAACAGCAACATGCAAATAGAGAGGCTTGTGATACCACTGACCATTTTTGATGGATTTCAGGAAAGGATGCCACTGACGACTTTGAGGATGTTGGTCACAGCACCAGTGCGAGATCCATGATGGATGACTACCTCGTCGGTGACATTGACCCTTCCTCATTCCCTGACAAGCCCACATTCCAGCCCGCCAAGCAAGCTGCATACAACCATGACAAAAGCTCCGAATTTCTCATCAAGATATTGCAGTTTGTTGTTCCTCTTGCCATTCTTGCGCTGGCAATTGCTGTGCGATTTTTGACGAAGAATGAAGACGTCAAGAAAATCGAGTAAAAGGTTCTCTTTTATTCTCTTATTAGTTGTTTATTACATGGTTGCTAGCTGTGGCGGCATCTGGTACTTCGTGCATTAAAAGGCAAACAACACCAGAAGTTCCTTGTGCAACAGCCGGGTGGTAAGGTAGGTATTGGGTAGAGATTCAGCGCCTTCCTACGTATCATGTAGGAATGTAGTTACCAAAACTTACATGGAGGGGCATCAATATGACTAGTGAACGGAGGTTATGTCTTTTCCTTTTATCTGAAGTACAATAACTATTATTCGGGAGTTTTTGGGTGACCTGGTTCAGTACACTTCTGAACATTGTTTACGATCAGGAGTGCATTGTTATGCTTCCTTGACACGTGTTAATTGAAACTGTTACGGTAGCATGTCCTGCTTGTAATAGGGTTACCAATGTTTTGATCAGATTTGCTATTGAGCGTATGGGTGGTCCCTCTAGCATACACGATTACTGTTTACATAGGATTGAGAATCCAGGTTCAGGCGCTGTTTCTATTTCTAACACCAATTCTCATTCATGAGCCAACCGACATGTAGGACATTATTTATTTTTGTCTCTTCCCTCTCACTGTACCTAAATGATAAATCTGTACATCTGTACATCTGACTGTTCACACTGCTGATTAAAAGTTAAAACCGACACCACTTTAGGAATCTTTAGTTCAGAGTAGATCTTTCACTCGTTTCTTGGGATCTTTTGTGTACTGGTTTATTTGTTAGTATGCATTTTTTTGTCTCCATTGCCAATAAATTGAACAGTTATTAAAGAATAAAGGTTTGCAATGAAGACGATATACTTTTGTTTAATACAAAAAAGTTCATCAAAGTCTAGCATATGCTTGGAAGTTATTCAATATTAAATTGAATCAAAGTAAGAAATTGTGGGGTCAGGTTTAAGTATTTTTTAATTAGATGGTGCGATTGCAATATCTTTCACTGAGCTTTAGAAAAATATATACCTAAGCATTTGAGTGGAAGAAGAAAAAATAATAGTAAAATATCATTTGCATCGTGTGATTGAGAGAACTCATGGGCTGAAGATGTGATTGTAATTGATAATGTTCTGTGAAAAATAAAATAAATTTGATGATACAAGGATTTGATTAAGCACTGTAAGTATTGTTAGTTAATAGAACAAACAGCAGTACAGAATAGATTTTTATTTTGTAATTATTGTTGCAATGATCATTTGGTAATTTTAAAAATGGAAAGTTAAGTTTAGATTAACTTAGTTTTGGGTCATTTGAAATCACAGCAATGACAACTTCGAAAAAGAAAAAATACAATCATTTTAATGTGTTACCAATTAGTTTTTATGAATAAGTTAAAAATATTAAAGAAGAAAAAAGAAAACACCAACTATTATTGCATACTAATTAATAATACAAAAAGAGATATACAAGCAAGTAAGTACAAAAATCTTTATATTTTTTCTGTAGTATAAATTGATCTTCAACTCGAAATTATTAATATATATCACAAAAGTTGAATGTAATTTGAAGACTGAGGACTTAACAAAAGTAGAATTTTTTAAAAAACACAATAAATAATCCTTTCATATATATATATAATGGGATTTCTATTTTCTATTTTTGAATATCAAAAAAATACATGTGTAATTATTGTTGAAAAATTAAATGTAAGTGTTACAGTAAAAAAAAAAATAAAAAAAAAAGATATTATTTATGTGTATACATGTATATGGTTTTTATTTAGAACATTTTAGTTTTTATATATTTAAGAGTACTAAATTTTGCAATAGCAATCAATAAAAGAAGTTAAAGTAAAAACCAAAATGATTGATGTATCAACTACTAGTAAATTTTTCTTTAAATTATAAATATTAAAAAAATTCACCCATTAAATTTATTATTGAATAAAATAAATTAATATTTTATAAACAAATGATTAAGTATATTATAAATATGTATTTTTTAGGGAGTTGTTAAAGCCACACTCTTCCTTGCCATCTCATGATTGATTCCATCTATCCCCTGTCTCTGTTCCCCATTCCTAGTCCCTTATCACCTTCTCTCCCCCCTCCCTCCCCCCACCTCCAGAAACAAGCTTTACATGGACCTCTCTTTACGGAGGGGTCGTGCCGATAAACGTATTACAAGGATTTTGTTTTACTTTATTTTTCCATCTCTCTTAATACAATAATAAGTTATTATTATTGTTATTCTTAGGCCTTAGCTAACATGGATCAACAAAGAGCTGCAAAGTGGAGTGATAAGGGAGTGTAAAGTAGAGTTCATAGTAGGTTGGGAACATGGGTGGGGGAGGGAGGAGAATGGGGACAAGAGACTAGAAATAGGAGACTAAGGTAGAAATAGACATAATCAATCATGAGATAACACGAGAGGGTGTGGCTTTAACAACATAGAGATGTGGCTTTATTAACTCCCATTTAATTTTTTTTATTATTATAGAGTAAATAATATTTTCAATAATGAAGCTTTTGTAAAAGAAAGTGTGTAAAAAATTTATTCAATTATATAAAATCGACTCTAATAAACCAAGAATAAGTCAAAATCCAATAAATATAAGTATTACTCTTGGGTGAATATTATGGTGGATACATCACATTGCAATTTAATTAACTATTTTTCATCTAATATTTTTCTACATATGTTATTTAACATTTCTCTATATGTGTTATTTTTATTTATATAAAATGCACACAATTATCTAAATATTGCAATTCATTTTTATTCACAGATGGTAGTTGTTTTTAGTATTTCAATTCACAAATACAATCATTTCTAGAAAAATTGAGTTCATCATGACTTTTCCTTTACACCACCAACTTAAATACCCACCATTTATCTTACAATAAATCAATGTTCTCTGTCCGCTAATGCTGTAAAAAAAGATGCTTTAAATCCACTACGATAGCGAATAGTCTGAGCAACACAACACGGAAGCAAAAGTATAAAACACGGTGAATCAAAAAGCAAACGGATAACACAGAAAAAGGTAAAGTAAAAGTAAAAGTATCCAAGATTGAGGGAACGTTGTCGTAAAAGCACGTGTAGACATGCCGGTCTGCAAGTACCCCGGATGGGACCCAGGTCCCCCAGTGCCGGGCCCGCGGCTGGGCCCCGAAGCCGGATTTACCGGCCCCGGCAATTACGTTTGGAACGCAAACTTTTTTGTTCTATCGTAAAAGAACGGGCAGCTCGGGCAGCGCGGGCAGCCAGGGAGGAGAGAGGAGAGAGGAAAGCATTGTGGTGATGTGGCGCGAGAAGCGTGAAGTAGGGCCGGTCGTAGGGGGTCTGCTTTCCGTGCAGCCGCCACGTGGAACCGTGTAGGAGAGGCTGCCCCTTCCTTTTTGTCTTCTTCGCTCTTCTTCACACTCCTCTGCTTCTCCTCATCGCTGGACTATTCTCATCCTTGTGGTCCGCTGCTCTAGTGCCCCCGTCAATCACAATCTCAGAGCAGCTCGCTTGTTTGCTTGCTTACTTGCTTGCTTGCCTTTCATCGCTCCGTTTCCCTACTCAGCTTCAGCGCTCCGTCTCTTCTCCGCTTGACGCGCCAATCGTGGTGGTGTAGGATTGGTAGGGGATTTTATGATAGGGATGAGTCGCGTCAATGAATCGCTTGTGCGTATGGATTTAGTGGAACCTTCAAGCTATAAGATCGCTATGGTTGGGATATAGTTAGGACTTGTGTCGACCGGGTGGTTTAGTGGGAAGCTATACAGCGGCGGTTTGTGATATATTCAGGTGTAGAATTCCATTTTTTGGAAGGAAGGCTCGGAAATGGGATTACGGAGCTGATGAGCTCCCGGGAAGGGTAGACCAGGAGTTGGTGTGCAAGCATTGCGTGTGGATGTTGGCTAGTCGACGAGACATCGGCTCCTTCATTAGGTAAGATTGCTCGCTTCATCTTCTGCTCGATATCTTCTCCTGGTGTGTTTCTTGAAGCGTTTACTGCTCGCTGGCCACGCCGCTGACCCTGGAGTGAGCTGGGGAATGGATGATAACCACGGTGTGCGAGATATAGTATTGGTGGAGTCGCTTGTTGTGAGGGACATGAGGTGTTTTTCGGTTCGATGAAGAAATGTTAGCTACTCTCGAGAACACAGTGATGCAGTTTGCATTGTAGGATACCAGGTGTCGGAGGATTTTTTTGCTCTTTGAAGGTTACACGTGTACACTTATTTGATCGGCTCACATGCTTTAATGGCAATTTGCACTCGTACCTTCACCATTGATAGCAACCGATTCACAGAGAAACAATGTAAAAACTAGTTGGTGTGCAGGTGTTTTATCAACTGATGCTTTCGTGATGGTTTTGAGGAATGGTTTTCGGCTGTTGAAACAGAAATGGGCGTAGATTTAGACGGGAAATTTGAGACAGCAGCTTATGTTCAAGAATGAAGAGTTGTGAAGCGCAGGGTTTGAAGAAAATTTAACTTTCAGGCTCGCATGGGTTTCCCGTTGCGATACCAATATTTCGGCAACACTGTTTGCTTAGAGTTTAATCTTGAGTGTCAATGAAAACGATCTATTTGCAAAAACGTGATTGCATCTGTTCATTTCGACGTGGAGCTTGTTCCGCGACGGTTGTGGAAAGACGGGATGGATTCAATAATCTGTCAGCGACTGATGTCAGTATGAACACGAGAAAACTATTAGTCGTGACTTCCCTGCACATGACCTCGAGAAACTTTGAATGTTGAGGGGCTTGAGAATGTGGAAAAAGGTCATTCTCGACAAAGTGCTTGCATTTTCCTGCCGAGTGAAGCGTTTTATGATTTTCTAATGGTGCATGTTGCTCTACTCTGTTTGTGCGCTTGACTGATGCAGAAGTTTTAAATTGGAAATGTCGAACTGTGCAGTTATCATTGATGCAGTCGACGATCCTTGCAACTGGATTCTGAAAACGCTCGGCTGTGTTGTATCGTCCATCTGGATTTTGCAAGGTACACGAGAGTTTGTTATAGTAATCCGGTAGACATGCCTGATGTTTGCCTGATGTTTACAGCAACTTATCATGATCCATCTTGCTGTGAGGTCTTGCTAGTACTTCGTCTAGGGACCATGCTTATCTCCTTCTGTTTTGGAGGGATTTCCGAAGCTAATTATGTACACCTAGTTACGTATTATGTACAATCATTTGATGGCGTTATGCTGCATTTAAATGGTAATATTCAGTTACTGAATCGTGAACGAGTGATCGGGTAGATTGTGTGAGAATATGTGGTCTTTTTGCATTGGTGTCTCAGAGTAAATTTCTGGGTGTCGGTACTTCTACAAATAGTGTTATCTTCAGATTTGGTTAATTCTACGATTGTCTATATGTTTCAATTCGACTTGCAGTTCAATCTCCTTGGTAGATCAGAAAAATAAAAAATGAAGTTATTTGCAATGACGCAGTAATCATATGCAAGAATGGCTGTTTTGTCAAAATTGATAGTGCGTGTGTTGTATTATGATTATTATTATTATTATTATTATTATTATCATAACAGTGAGTTCCTAATGTAAAGCTGATCACATTGGAGCGGTTTCTCAACGTCAAGGACCAGCAGTACTTAGCGAAGGATTCTTATTACTTGGCAGCTTCACTTATCTTTTTCACCTTCACAGAATGCAGGAAGGTGCCAGTTTTTTCATCTAGCTCCATTTTAGGACCACTATCTTGTCGCCGAATTCGAAGGACTGGTGTGACTTGATTGGTCGCCAGAAGGGGATACGTCACTACGAAATTCAATTTGGAGCGTTTCTGTTGTAGTGGTGGTACAAGTTGAGAGAAAATGGGAATGGATTGGACGGACAAAAAGGGAATGCATTGGACGGATAGATTGGAAGCTATAAAATTGTACATTTTCGATTTGGAAGGAAATGTCATAGCTCGCGATGTGCTGCAGCGAGTGCCCAATGGTTTTACTCTAAGAGAAGCAATTGAACGAACCCGTAGTGCGGTATGTGAACCTATTGTTATAGTTTGTCTCACTGAGCTTCGGACTATGCTTCATCGTATTCCTCTCTACGAAGACACGTTTGCTGGTATTGCAGTGAATTCATCCTTTGGACTCTGCATCGAACTATAATTGAAGAACTCTTTGCCGCAGGATCCAGCCGTACAGGAGTCAGCGTTGTGGCTTGTTGCTGGAGTGCTTTTTAAGGCCATAGAAGGATTGCAGGCTCAGCAAGTGCATTCGCGTATGCGAAACGCCCCCACAAATGCTGCAAATGTCGATGTGGATTGGCAAGCATTATGGACGTTTGCGATTGGCCCAGAGTTAGAGCTTGCCTCGGCGCTCAGGTACGTAACGCGGTGCTTGCTGTTTCGTTCACTGTTCATTTTAGTAAGCGCACTTGGTGTTTCTGGTTGCAAAAGAGACCAGCATATGATATTCAAGCTATCGTGATGCAGTTCTACTTTACAAAAAGTGACTTGAGTAGTTGTTAAGTGCAGATTAGCTTTGGACAGCACTGATACATCTGTGATAGCAGCCTGCTCGAAAGCTTTGCATGCATTGTTAAGTTGTACTGCAAATGAGACGATTTTTAACATTCAAGAGGTATCGTCATTTCTGCATGGATTGGGTACCAGTGTATCTTTCATATTATAAGAAAGAAGATACTGTAGATTTGGGTGCAATTATTGATTTAGATCAAGTCGCGGATGTCTAGGAAGTGAATAATATTAAACCAGGTGATGAACCTAGGGTTCTGCACTTTATGTTGTGTGATTCATGATTAGTAATTTTTATTAACTTTTGCTATATTGGTGTTTTGTATCTAAAAGCGTTTCCTTGCAACAGGGTGTATGGCCTGGAAACAAATCCGTATTCACAGCACCCGTTTTCCGTAGGAAAATAAACCAAGAAGATGGGCTTATGGGAGGTGGACGATGGAAATACCACGTCAACGCAATTGACCTGTATCCTCCATATTATACAGAAAACTCACTCAGTGATACTGAAGAGGACAAGGATTTAATTGGAGATGAGGCAACAGTTACAAGCAAAGATGTCACTGCGGGTCTTCTTCGAATGGGACTTCTGTCTAGGATTCAGTACATTCTTGAGGTTCTTTTTTTTTTTTTTTTTTTTTTTTTTTTTTAATCCTGATTCCTTTTCGAGTTTGGTTTTTCTTGCAAATCATCAGCATGTATTGAAACTCCAGGGCGTCCATGTCAAGATGTCTTACACTTGAGCTGTGGGTATGTAGTACTAGTGGTACTTTCATTTTGGAATATTCCCTTTACTGGCGAGACCTTTAGCGGATTTTCTGATCGTATTCACGGTCTTCAATGTTTTGATATGGTCTCCAGCTGTATGTGCGGAGTGATTTTTGGCAAGTTAAGTTGAGTTTATGCTCAACGCTGTTTTGGCTTTACCATTTCAGTCATGCTCTATTACTTACGCTTATAAGTTTGCTTTATTTTGGACGCAGGTAGAGAGATTAAGCTCTGCGGACGAGCATCTATTATATGTGGTCATAGCAGTGTCACGTCACTCTCCAGCGGCTGCCAAAGCTGTAATGAAATGTCCCAGATTGATGGACTCGATTATACAAAGATTCTTGCTAACTGATGAAGATTTGAACAGTGGACTTCGTCCTGCTCATACCAACGCTATTCGACTTCTCAAAGTATGTTTTCCTTGTCTTTCAGATTTCTGTACCACGTTGATATTTCCTTTAATCTTCAGATTGTTTATTTACCTATTTATAGTTTGGATGTTTCATTGAAGTACCTCTGCCTGAATTCATGAAAATATGTAATTCAGTTGCATAGATCTTCAAGGATAAAGACGTTGCAGGATATTCTTTTACCTATGGCCTTTCTGCAATCAGAGCTATCTAGTGGTCTGTTCTACTGCCATCTGAATGAGCATCGTCGGATGTTTGGTACAGATTTTATCTCAATCGAGTACAGCCAATTGCATACGATTTGCAGAAACAGGAGCGCTTCAAGTGGCGCAATGCGAGCTTTACAAACAAGGGTTCCCTCTTCCTTCAGATCCTAGACTTGGTGAAGATTCCTTTAAAGCCGTTTGTTCAACAATTGTGGAATGTCTTCGCCTGTGGCGTGTCTGCGTCAATCAACAGATCGGTATCGCTCTTTTCCCCGATATTTATCCAGCCCTTCGTTGCTGGCTTAAGCCACCTCCCTTGAAGGAAATATCGCCGAAGAACTCCGATGATATACTGGTTTTGGCTCAAGAGTCCTACTCTCTTCTTGAAAGGCTTGCCTGGACTCTTCCCATTCTACACACCCCAGGCTCCATGCACGTAAATTGGGCATGGAACGTAGCTGTTCCATTGGTTGAGACAGCGTTGGATTGGTTGAGCAAGGATCGTATTGCAGCCGTGAACAAAGAGCTGGCGAGTTTGGCTTCTAGAGTGAACATGGAAGCTCAGAATCCTGCCCATACTTCCCTCATGAAGTTGGTGGGGACAGTAGGATCGATTCTTCATTTCCTTGCCACAGTCTGTGAGATGTTCAGTGAGTCCAGTTCGGAAGAAGGCCGGACAACCGGTCTTAACAACCAGTCTCTTCACCCAGTCATTCATAAGCTTGCCATCGCTTTGGTATCGAATGGTTTTCTCACATACAGGAATGGGAAGCAGGGTGATCCAGAATCTACACGTTCTCTGTTACAAACCCTGGAATTGCTTTGGGTTGAAGCAAATGAAGAAACTGCAGTGACTATCACAAGTTGCATGCATGGAATAGTGCGGCTGCTTAGTGTCACTGACCAACTGTACCAACAATTGGAACAGAAGACGAACGAAGTTATATTTGAGGGTTCTTCAATACAACAAACTCTATCCAGAGGGCTAATATCAGCAGCTGACGGAGAGTTGAGGGACCTTCTCGATATTGTCGGGAAGGAGCTTATTGCAAGGAGATATCTCATGGTGTCACTTGAATCTTGCGAAAAATCTGGGCCTGCTCCTGGTTTAGGCTTGGGTTGGGGGCAAGTGGGAGGCGGAGTGTGGTCAAAACGTGGTCTTCATGTTAAAGGAATTGCCAGACTCGTGACAGAGTTACTTGAAGTTTTACCTCTAAGCCCAGCTGGTGGCAACGCTTTAGCTAATGAGGTTCTTCTGTGGAGAATGAATTGTTGTTTGTGCGCTGCAGCTGTTGCTGGTCCTGGAGATGGTGATATCATTCAACGGATTTGTTCAAATGTGATGTTGCATCCTAGCACATTGGCAACACTGCTCCAAAGTTTGGATGCCACGTTGAAACCAGACAAAACTGAAGTTCAAAAGGCGGATACAGTCAATGTTTATGAGGATATATCCAAGATATTATTAGAGCATTACAGGAAGGTTTGGTTATGTGGAAAACCCGACAAATCTTCTCGTGGGAGAGGGAGCAAGAATGGCAAGCCTATGAAGCTGAAGACTAGCCTCATATCTTCGAAATTGTCAAATTTAAGTGAAGAAAGTGCCAAGTTAGCTGCAGAAAAAAGTCGCAATGAGAGCCTTGCAAATGATGTGGTTGCTGAATGGGCAAATCAAAGACTACCGCTGCCGCCCCACTGGATTTTTAGTCCCATGGCCATTAATCTAGGTGGATTGAATGACGAAACTCGAGGAAATGCTCCAGAGTGTACAATACTTGAGAACGGCAAGTTTATTATCAGTCAAGATGAGCAGATCGGGATGGAAGACGCAATTAAGTGTGGAGTCGTGTGGCTGTTAGGATTGGAAATCTTGAGTCAATCGGTACAGTTGCAAAGTGAGGAGCACGCGTTGAGAGCCATCCCAATTGTACGGAAAGTTCACGCATTATCTGGCCTCTTTGTGCTCGGAGATGACATGTTTCTCAACGAGTATCTGAAAGACTGTGTCAGCTGTATGCAGCGGTTGTATGGAAGATTCCTTGATGCCAGTGGCCCACAGGCCTCAAATGATCCTAGGCAGATACTGGACTTTGAAGGTGTAATTGATGAGGACTATCGTGATTTCATTGAGATTCTAGTGAACAAGTTTTCCTCTGCATCTTCTACAAATGCAAGATTTGGTCGTCAAGTGGCACTGTACTTGAGACAGGATATTTCTGCCTCCTTACGGTTGCTGACATGGCTAGCTCTAGCTGCCTCTCAGTCCTTGAAGCTTCTACCTCCGCTCTCAGAGTGTGGCACGAATCCTCGTAGATATCTTTTTCCTTTTGAGGTACCCATTTGCACTCAACGTATTCTCCACTGTCATAAGTGTGACTTGAACTTTTACGTTCGTTTGTATTCCTACTTGGCTACTCAGCAGTCAAGGTTTTAAGTTGTCTACGACAGTAACAATTATAATAATTAGCAATAGTTATTTGTAGGGCCTCACTGATTGCATGTGTTTTGTGTTGCAGAAAAATCCGCAAGTAATAGAAGCATTTGCGTATGCATGGACATCAGGTGCACTTGATGTTGCAGATACTGAGAATTGTATGGCACACGCACAATCTCTACATCATCTTGCAGCTTTTATATTCCAGGAAGGGATGGAATCACAGGATCATATGTTGAGTAAGACGGCTAAGGCTCTTTTCGCGACCCAGAGACTAGAGGAGCAGGTCTATATCGCTTACACTGATTCTTCTGTTATGATCTTTTTGTTCAATCTCCAGTTTAAAACCTCACCATTTGGTGCGCATGGACTTCATACTTCTCTCCTTACATCCCTAAGTCTGCTACATCGAGATGCTCAAGTTCCTACTCTGTATGCGTGTTTGCAGGACTTCATGAAGAAGATGGTGGAATACCCACTAACATTTCCAGCAGAACCGATTTGCTCAGAAGAATTGGAAAGACGTCTCAACATCATTCAAAATGTATGCGGTAGTGACAACACCATAGTGAATAATGTGACGCGGTTACGTGGTATCCTGGTTGGAAGCGTCCTCAGATGACAGAGGATTTTATTCGTGTCAAGTATAAAAACGTTGATGTTGAATTTTGGGATAACCGAGTCTTCGTTAATGCAATCAGTGTACAAACTGCTTTGATTCTAATACTGAACACCATTTTTTTTTTTTTTTTTTTTTTTTTTTTGTTTTTTTAAACAAGGTTGGGTGCATACTTTTCATACTCTCGGCTGCTCTTTACGTTGGAGTTGAAAGGGAGATTGTTGAAATGAATTTGATACCAATATTCCCTATGTTCTTCTCAATGAACCACAAATACACAGATACTCATTTAAATAGAAAGATCATGAGAAGGTGATTTCATACCCTCAACTCATTGATAGACTTCTAAGATTTGTAAAACACATCTAATAACAGAAATTTTCTATTATAATATTTCTATTTTTTAATTTAATTTTTTATTCAAATTATATTGAAAATTAATTTAATTTTATAAAAAAGATAATTCAAAATAGGTTGTAGTGGCAATAGTAAAAATTGTGGTGGCATTAATATATATATATATATATATATATTATTAGAAACTTATGTAGTTATAAAAAAATATATATTTTATAATTCAATTGTCTAAGTTAAAAATCTCCTCAAACCACATGTCTCAATATTACCCTTTTTCTTAGTCTATGATTCTTGCCCTTTGCATGAAAAACATCTGATTCTTCATTCCTCAAAACTTCATATAATATAGTTCATGGAAATTATTGCTTGATAACTTAAGCTACAACTCTTTCTTTTCATGCACCAATTCATAATTCATACAAAAAAAATGTATAAAAAACTTCTAGGAACAATGAATGAATCTTGCTTGCAAGATAATCAAGGAAGAACGCATGCAAATTGTTACAAGCTAATCTTTCATGGTGTAATTCTGGACAATCATTCTTCTCCAATGCATTCAAAATCCACCGAAATTGAACAACTTCATTGACTTGCATATACTCTGTCCATGCTCCCATCGTCATAGAACTATAAGAAAGCTTATCCAAATCATAGGATTCACGTACAACCCACCACTTGGTCTAATACAATTATGTTCTTGTGCAATTTTTTGCATGCCAAAACTCTTGCCTTTCACCAAATATTGGGCTGCATAGTGCAATTGTTTGTGTACATACTTGACGATTTGCTTCAGTATTGGCTCATTTTGCTTATAGTACATTTTTACTTGTGTTCATGAATCTCTATCAATAATAAATCTAGGAGGTTATATATGCCTTATTATGATATAGATACTAAATGAAGTATAATGATTCAAGGAGTTTTCTATCAAGATTTTTTTTTATTCAAAATATAGCTAGTACATATTTTATCTTTTTTAACTTGCTATTGAAACCTTTATGCCTACCTCATTGTTACCAAAAAATCTATGATAGCACTTTTGGCTTTAAAATAACATTCAAGATTAGGATATTACTTTAGTATAAATCTTCTACTTCTCCTTATTTCAACAAATATTCTATTTCAAGTAGTGTGCTTTGCTTTGGTTTTTTCTTCAAGCTTTGCTTAAGATTCTTAATGGCATCAAAGCAAAGTTTTTTTTAGAGACTTTCAACTCCTATCTTTCTTTGGTTAGAGATAAGACCTCACTAGAAAGTGTTATTTCTTTAATTCTTTTCTCTTTTCTTAGACCTCATGTCAACTATAGACAACTTATAAGAAGATAAGAGAAATAGTATACAAAATCAAACTAGTTATTAAGCTGTTCAAAAAATAATCATCATGGTTGGAAACAATAGACTTCTTAAGAGTTACCATCTTGATGGAGGTTTGATCTTTGGAATTTGGGCACACTACATGAAGAATTTACTTTAGAAGAGCATGCGCTTTTACTAGTACCTTACATCTTAAAGCACATTTATAAATAAAGAAGAAAAAATGGTATGTCAACAAATCATGAACATCATCAATAATAATGACAAGAATAATACTTTCAAATTCCTTTGATGCTATAACAATTTCTATGAGTATTGAATTGGATTGAAAGTAAGATATGAATTTGATAGCAGCCTTCATTGATTGATGCTCATAAAAAGATTCTTTGTCTTGAAAAAAATAAAATATGTTTTTATGAATACCCATATCATTGAAGCTTAAGAAGTTGCAGATCTCCTATAAGAAGTGGATGTCAACATTTTTGAAGACATCATTATTTAGTACACCTTAAAGAACTTGCCAAATGAATATAAGAGTTTTAAGAAGATGTAGATTGCTACTTAGGCTCTATTAACTTATGAGTAGTTGGAAGCCAAATTAATCTCCAAAGAGACATCAATACAACTAAAAGCTCAACAAAAAAAAAGATGGCAAAATATTCTTGCTTTACAAAGAAAGAGAAAGGAGATTTCACTTGATGCTAAGACAAGAATAGTCTTTTCCAATATGTAACAATTATAATTGAAGGATATCTTTTTAGCATAAATAATACCTTGTTGATAGGTTCATGGATTTGAAAGGATTGTTTGTGTCAAAATATTCCAAGTCAATGGCTCACTTAATTCACTTTAAAGCACCATCAAATGCCAGTGCTCTGTTTAATTATCAACCTTGCTACAAACAAACTAAGCTTAAACAATGACAAGACCTTTCCAACTGCTATGGGCTTGATAGAAATTTTGAATGAGAAGGTAACTTGAAATAAATGTTAGATTATATGAAAGATTATGAATATTGACTTATAGAATATTGCAATTGAATTCATAGTAGCTAAGTACACAACTTCAAAGAACTACATGAAGGATTAGACTAAAAATATAATCTTAACAATTTTGAATTAGTAAACAAAATTATAGAATTTATTTAGTTGAACTTATCATATTAGAATCTTCATAATAAACTAGCTCATAGTATCTTGACTCTAGGGCCATCCATTACATATTTGATAATCCATTAGTCTTCAAATCAATTCACTTAGCTAATAAGGCTTATATTTTCTTTGCTAGAAGATACAATCATGAAGTAATTGGAGTCAAAAATGTTAATATTTTAGTTTCATTTAGAGCAATAAAATTAAATTTTATTATTTTTTGTACATTGGATATCACCAAAAAATTATTGAATATAGAATTTTTTGCTAATAGTAACAAAATTCTTATCTTTAAGTTAGAAGGATGCTTTATTGTTGACACTAATACACTTGATTTAATATCCTTTGCTCAAAGAAAAAATAGAAAAGGTTTGTACCAACTTGGCAAAAATATGACATCTTTAAGTCTAGAAGTCAACTTGCTTCATCTTCACTATCATATAATCTTATAGTATAAGAGATTTAATTACTTTCATATTGAAGGTCTACAAAGAATGATTAATTTTGGTGCAATCAATGACCTTCTTAACATCCATTTCTTAAACAAATTTGCAATGGCTATCAACTTAGCAAACATAATAAAATAAAGATGCCTAAGAAAGCTACATTTTATGCTTCAAAAATTCAAGAGTTAATTTATTTTGATATTTGTGGACCATCCAAAGTCAACTCAATAAGAAAAACAAGATATTTTTTAATTTTTGTAGACAACTCTTTGAAAAAGCTATAAGCATATTTTATTTTGAATAAAATTCAGGTTTTAAAGAAAGTCTAATAATTTGGATACAACATAAATAATACTATTAGATATACTATTCAAATTCTTTGCTTAGATAATAGTAGTAAGTATATATATCAAGCTTTTTATGACTTTTGTTTGTCAAAAGAAATTTTTAAGAAATTTTCTCCACCATACACACCAAAAAGCAATTGTATAGTAGAATAATGGAATTACTCCTTGATAGAAATTATAAGATGTCTTTTATTGGATAAGACCTTCTTTGGTTATTTGTGGGTCGAAGTAGATAAAGCTACCAATATGATTTTTAACCTCCAATCTATAAAGAAGTAACTTGATAAGACTCCAAACAATTTTTTTTTAGGTATTAAACCATTCAATGCCTATTTAAGAGTATTTGGCTCTTCAATTTTTATCCATATTCCTAAAGCATCTTCTACCAAACTAAAAGCTTGCTCTAAAAAATTCATACTAATATCACGGATTGTCACGAATATACATTTGTACTCTAATAAATACCTATGTGATTAGGTAGAAGTAGGTAAAAATAGATAAAAGTAGGTTAATTTTATAATATCTTCTAAAAAGCCTCCTAGAAGCTTTATAGACATTGTTTTGACTTTACATATATTTGTAGTTGATTGATAAATTAGAAATTTGATCAATAAGTTAATCTTGTGTGAATAGCTTGCAGAACAAGCTTACTATGTAGAGTATATATAAATAAACCTGCATTATAAGTTAAAATATATGTCTTGTAAAGTCAACACATTTTGAAAGTCCTATAGGATATCACCACATAGTTCCTAATTAAGAATATATATAGAGGCAAGAGTGAAGCCTTCTTCACTCTTGTCAATGCCTTTCTAGTCTTTAGTCTTATTTCAAGACTTTTTAGTCTTCTTGTTTTTGGCAATAGCCATTCTAGTTCAATACTATAACATCTTTGAATAAATTTTTAGTTCTTTTCAATGTCTTAAGAGTGTATTGAGGATTTTTTTCTTCTAGATTTATATCCTTGATATTTTGATAAGAGTGTTAATTTATTATTTTTATCTTATTTTAGAAGAGAGTAGATTATTCCACTTTCATTGTTGTATATTAAAGGTTGCGGACTACCTACCTTTAAACAAATAATCTTATTTTTTAACATTAATTTTTTCTTAAAAGTAAGTGGATTATCCTTCTTTGTGGAAATTTTCATTTGATATTAGAAATTATGGATTATCTTCCTTTAATTTAAATTTTTGAATTTATTTGAGTTATTTATGGAAGGAAAGATTATGGATGTTATTCTTAGTGGAAGTGAAAATAGATTTGCAACTATTGTAGATCTTCATGAATTTGTCAATATTCTAAGAGTAGAAATTTTACATATTTCCAACGTGAATCATGGAAGTATTATTCCTATGCTTGCAGAAAAAGTTCAAAGTCTGCATCAAAAAGTTGTGCGGTTGAAGGAAGCAAGTATATCAACCTTACAACCAAATCTAAGAAGTTTTGCTTCTACATGTATAACTGGGATAAGGATTAGTATGCCTGAGAAGTTTGATGGAACAAGATCAAAA